ATTTTTAATAATAATCTAAGATGAATTATCTGAAAAGATAAATGCATTAGAGTGATTTTCCTTGTTCGCTGCTTTGATTTTATGGTTAAGATATCTGAAAATTAATTGTCCCTCTTTCCTTCTCAATCTGCTGCAGTAGTGTTCCCCCTTTCAAGGACACTGCTACGGCGGTTTGAAGATAAATCAAAATAGTGGATAATTATTTTTCGATGTTGAACTTGAATATGACTACAGAATAAAAAAGAAAACAAGAAAAATCAGCACAAAACATTTCAACATTCTGATACTCCGGGATAATTCTGACGCTAGAGAAGAATTAAGTGATAAAAGATACCCCGGAAACGACTACTCTCTTGTTGTTTTATCTTTTGAGTCCACGTTCGGGAGCACGACCCCGAAGAGATCAAGAATTGGATTTTTAGAGTTTTGTGGTTGGAGTTAGAATATCTTGAAATTCTGGGGCATCAAAGTAAATCTGAGATCAGATTCGACTTCAAAGTAACAAGTTACTTCAAAAATTACTACTATTTTGTTTTTTTTTCTTTTCCACACCCTAATTTTGTTTGATATTGTCTAAACTCTGAGAAAGCTCAATTTTTTACAAAGCAAAAAACGCTCTAATTATTATCATTATGTTGAGTAAACGGTATCGAACGAATTGACCAATATTTTCTCACTTTGTAAGGAAACGCAGAAAACAAACCTTCGCTCAAATTTTAGTGATGGCGTACACCAAAAAATGGAATATTATAGTAGTGGATTGGTCAAGATTATCCCGATTGACGTATGTGAAATCTCGGGAGAAAATTAAAGATGTCGGCCGTATACTGGGAGAATTTATAATATTTTTGAAAGAAAACAATTTCGTTAAGCTCCCTCGCGTCCATATCATAGGACACAGTTTGGGAAGTCACATAGCGGGATTTGCGGCCCAAACAGTCAAAGCAAAGTATAACCAAACCGTGGAAAGAATATCGGGACTTGATCCTGCAGCACCAGGATTCGAATACGGAAACAGGACAAATGAAAGGAATGCACGGCTTGATAATGAAGACGCCAAGTTTGTGGACATCATACATACAAATGGGCGAATTTTGGGAATGCTAAATCCAATTGGACACGTTGACTTTTATCCTAATGGCGGTGTCACTCAACCTGGATGCAACTCGTGTATGTACACTCACCCACTGGGGACTTTTAATTAAAATCTAAACTTCACTTACACATTAATCGAAAATTTTCAAAAAATCGAAAACAATTATACTTCTAATCATGATATTTTCACCATGCCTAACTTTATTACGAATTTATAGAGAAAATTTCAAGTAATATTAAAAGAAATCTATAAAGTAATTATATCATTACATAATATTGATTATTTTTGTTACATTGCTAGTGTTTTGTTTAAATTCTTAATCTCAAAATATCCAGACGCTATCATATCTCGGATTCGCTCAAACTTGTGGAAAGCTTAATAAAATGTCTTAAGAATTTCGTTGTTGATTTTCATCAAGCTTAAAACGTTGGCGTAAATGTGATCTTTTAACGTGATAAGTCTTATCGACATTAACTAGTTAACTGATTTGCTATGATGCCACAAACAGATTTATTTGCAAACATATGCATAAAGGATCTCCCACACCAGCGCAGAAGAAGGGCAGCGGTATTTCCGTTTCCGCTACAGTGGAATTGTACATATAGATGTGACGCTAACTGAAAAGCTTATTAAGTTTGTGACAAATGTTCTGTTCTATATGATTTATAGAACAAAAGTTAGGAAGGAGAAAGGGTCAGATTTAGGAGAGTTTAATGAATTCGATTTCTTCGTTTTCAACAATACAAAGAAAGTCATCGTTAGAACACAATGTCACACGGAAATAATACTCAATACCTCGGAAATGGTATGCAATATATTGAGTATCATTTCCGTCAGAAATAAATCGCGTAAGCTGTTCCACTGCGAAAAACTCGCAACGTCAATGTTTCGCGTAAGTGTAGGGGATCCTCAATGTAACTTTTTTTTTGATGTTGTCCGTTAGAAATAATTACAGCCAACATTACACCGAATTTTTTTATTTAGACTTTTCCTTTCTAGACTATTGCAGTCATGTTAGGGCCTGCGAATTTTGGACTGCTTCTATTGTACATCCTGACGCATACACGGGGTATCGTTACCGATCATGGAAGGAATACCTCGACCAAAAATTCCACGATGGAAAATCATTTCCCATGGGCATAAAAGCCAGTCCGTTAATTCCACCAGGATCATACTTTTTAGAAACGGCTTCAGAAATACCATATGTCCATTATAAAACTAAACTAATCGACAGTCTGTAAACTGCAATAAATTTAATTATTTATTTAATTACGTCTTTTATTTACTTTTTTATTCACTTCCATGACAATAGACTATCATTAAGTTATTATTATTTTGTAGATGCTGACCGCAAACTGGAACGATTTACTGAGAAAGCAAGTTTTACCAGAGGAAAAATATAATTCAACGAATTTTCTAACGTTGTGGGATTTCGAGGGAGTTCTAAAATACACTCCTTTATTTTACGGATGGTATACACGCGAAGAGGACCACAAAACAGGATACAGACTGCCGCTGGCGTATTTTATGACACAGTTGGTGGTCTATGTTTACAGTTTCATCGCTATACTCAGGAAGTAAGCCAATTAATTAATTACTTACATTCACACGCAATATATTCAACGAAAATTAGATTTAAAATAAAAATTATGATTTGAGCCTAATTAAATACACATTTGATTTAATATGCAGTAATTATAAAACCTCTCATTCTCATTTAGTGTCAAATTTGTGAAAAATGTGATACGGAAATGTCTAACGAAGAACAGAAATAAAATTTTTGTTCTTATCATAAGCCGATTTTTGCATTTCCCGAAAACTAGAATATTCCACAACCTTAAGTATTTGTCAACAGTTTCCTTTATCTCTATTTTCTCATGTTTCTGCTTCTTATATACGAGGGTGGATTGATAAGTTTCCGGCCTGACCAAGAAAAACAAGGTTTTTAAAAATTTTTTTTTTTTATTTCTCAACATAATCTCCTCCAAGGCTGATACATTTCTCATAGCGGTGTTCCAGTCTATTAATGCCATCTCTATAGACTGATTCGTCAAGCTCCTCAAAATAACCATTTA